CCTGCTGAATCGAGACCTGCTGCGGTCCTGCGCTTGCGTGGCAGGAATTTGTAGTGGGCTGTCGCCTATGCCACTCCAGCACGACTTGAAACATGACGGGGCACTGCAAACAATGCTTGCTCTTGTTGTACACTTGCATTTCGCAGAAAGGGCACTTCAGGCCCTTAGGAGTGTGAGCAGCAAAGCTGCCGCAAGTTTTGGCAACTTGTTCCTGATGGGTATCCCACAGCTGTGTGTGAACTTTTCTGACGTGGGACTTTAGTTTGGTGTAATCCGGAGTCCAAAAGCCACACTGCAAGCACTGAGACCCAAGCGCCTTAGCGTCCTGGTTGGTGGCTATTTTGGGGAGTTGATGGCGAGGAGCCACAGCTACAGCACTCTTAAGGGTCTCCAAAGGAGCGGACAGAGCCAGTGGTTCCTTAGCAGCGTCCAGCTCTCTCAGCTTGTGAGGACTGGGGCAGGCGCCTGACAGGAGATGAGAAAGTAGTCCCGGCCACTGCTTGAACTGCGTGCCGCAGGCTCGACAGGTGGGGAGTCCGTTAACTGAGTGCTTTGCCCGATCAAACCTCTCCGGAACGTACCTCTCCACGGCTTCCGGATGTTGTTTGGCACGGTGAAGCCGCAGCCCCTGCTCCGAGACAAAAGACCTGTCGCAGTCCTGGCAGGAAATGACTGGCGTGCCCTCTGCCGCCTCGGTCTCAGGGAGATTCCTGATCCTGAGATTGCTGAATGGCCTCGCTGGTGCTTGTTATGCTAGGCGAGAGGACTTGTTGCGCGTTGAGGTGGGAAAGGCGGTTTGATTGGAGTCTCTCAAGCTTGGCGACAGGGTCCTCTATAGAGTACAGCTCATAGAGCTCACCGGTTGTCATGTGGGTCACGTGGGCCGGTTTGTTTAAAACTGATCGGATTTTAAATGCGTACCAGGCCTTAAGGGACTTTGCGGACTCCAGCGAGAGGCCCGCCTCAGCCAGCCCAAACGCTAGCGTGGGCCACACTACAGACTGCCAAACCCGAAGTCCCGAAGTCGGGACATCGTACTCGCCACCCTCCTATTATATACAAATTTCCTCACCTGATGTAGTTTTTGCTTGGCTTCGCTGATGCGAAAAGTGAGCGTCTGCATCTCGAAGGACCCGTAGCTGGCTTTGATGCCCAGAAACTTGATGGTCGGGACCCATCTGAAGGTAGGGAAGTATTTAGTCTTGCCTATACGCCAGAGCTTGATTCGCTCCCCCGCCTCGTTCCTTGTCCAGGCTGTGTACTGCTTCGTGACTGATGCCGCCTGCCTACCCGCGAACTTGGCCAGGATGTAGCATTTGCTCTGATTACAAACCAGCTTATGGTCCTTAAGGCTTTCCAAGACGGCTCGTATTAGCACGTGACAGGCCTCTACATCTGCTACGGAGCGTATAGTTCTGTGCACGGTGAGATCGTCTGCGTAGCCCGTCAGAAAAGCACAGACTCTATCCTCCCCAAAGAATTCAATGAGCTCCTTGATTAACTTACCAGTTAGGAGGCTGAATAGGCTCGGGGCTAGCTTGCAGCCCTGCTTGATGCCCGTGGTGGTCTCAACCTCAGTGACCTCACCCTGAGCCGCAAGCTTGTAAGCGGAGCGGTGGTGTAGGGCATGCACTAGCGATACCAGGGCAGGGTCGTCAGTTAAAGCAGGGAGTGTAGCTATGATCTCCTGTCTCGAGACGGTGTCAAAGGCTTGAGAGAGATCCAGAGCAAACGTGAGGCCCCCAACGAGATCAGGACGCAGTGCGCCTTCCCGGAGCTCCTGTCTTCCCGGGGAGGCAGTGCCACAAAGCTGTCTCACCTCCCGAAGATTCTCGCGTGCGCATCCGACAAGCCCCTTCCAGGAAGATACGCGAACTGCGGAACCTCCCTCATGTGCCGGAGAAAGCAGCTCCCGCGCCGCTCCCGCGAGCATCTGGTCTTAGTATGCCAAGAGGTCTTAGATTAGACGGCTTGTCTGCAGGCTTGCCTGGTTTGGGGATTAGACAGAGGTCTGCATCTAGCAGCCCGGAGGGAAGCCGCTCTTCGCCTACTCTGGTCAAAAAAGCGCTTAGAGAGGGGCTAACTTCATCCGCGCAAAGCTTCCAAGCTGCTGCCGGCGCTGAGCCTTTCGGAACCGCCTTATGCGGCTTGATGGACCTTATGTGCTTAGCCAGGAGCTGCGGATCTAAGCGCGGGAGAGAGCCCGTTCTCTCCGGAAGCGGGGCATGCGCACCGAAGGTGGAAACTGCAAATTCTCCTAGCACTTCCAGCTCCTCCGCTGGACCCATCAGCCTTCCATCCCGATTCTTGAGCTGAGCTCGTTGCTGGGGCTGCCACGGCCTGAGTTGCTTTGGCATGGAGTAGGCAACGTGCGAAGACCCTTCCGCTATAGCCTCATCGACTCCCTCTAAAAATTTAGCAGCCCTTTCCTTCTGCCTCTGTCGCACCTGCTGCCTGTGTTGTTCCTGAGAGGCTTCTAGTTCCGCCAGCCGAGCTGGGTCAGGGTTTGGGGAGGACTTAACTTCTCGAGCAAGTTGCCACATGCGCCTGGAATCCAAGGGACGTTGGCAGCTGCGGCCCCTCCTCGGGAAAAAGAGCTCAGCTGCTTCAGTGAGAATTTGGTTGCGCTGGTCTGGATGTTGAACCGGCATGCGATCACGAACCCAGTCCCGCATCTGTTTAGCCCGGTCTGAGCCTTCGCGAACCTCAGCTTGTAGCTGTTTGACGTCGCATGTCGACGCGTCCTTTCTCGAAGGAAGCTGCCAATGACCTAGGAACTTGACGGTGGCAAAGACAGGGGAGCGGCCTCCGACTTTCCAGCTGCCTAAGTGCCAATCGTGAAGTGGCGCAGATCTCTTGGCCTGTC